AACATAGGAGTTGGTTTCCATATTGTGTAAGTCAGTGACTTGCTGGTGGTTAATCACAGACAAGCTTCTCTGTGTCCTTTCCTAGTTACTATTACACTTCCCAGAAACATACGACTTTATAAAGGATTTGCCATTGACGGTGGGGTTGCTCGAAAGAATCTTTAGATTATTGGTTCTCAAAGTGTGGTCACATGGCCAGCAATATCAGCATTGCCTGGTGTTAGAAATGCAAATTCTTAGCCTCATGCCAGACCTACTGTCTTAGTTTGTCTTCTATTTTTAACAAAATATCTGAAACCGAATATTTTATAGTGGAAGGAAGTTATTTTGGCACACAATTGTGGAGGCTGAGAAGTCAAGGTTGAAGGGTTGAATCTGCTAAGAGCCTTCTTGCTGGTTTGGACTCTTCAGAGTCCCAAGGCAGCACAGGGCATTGCATGGTGAGGGAGCCAAGCATGCTAACACGCTAGCTCAGGTCTCTATTCCTCTTCTTATAAAGCCAGCAATTCCACTCCTGTGATAACCCAAGAATCCATTAACTCATTTATCCACAAATGGCTTAACCCATTCATAAGAGCAGAGCTCTTATGACTCAATCACCTCTTAAAGGCCCCATCTCTTCATACTGCCCCATTGGGGATTAACCTCAATATGAGTTTTGGACAGGACATTCAAGCCATAGCACCTATTAAATCAGAAATATGGAGGGTGAGGCCTAGCAATTTGTGCTTTGAAAAGCCCTCCAGGTGACTCTATTTGGGAACAATTGCTTTAGATGAGCAGGTCTTAATCCTGACTATATATTAAAATCACCTGAGCAAACTTTCATTGCTCTAACCCTACTCCATAGTGTTTGAATCTTTAGGGGTAGGTCCCCAGGCCATCAGGGATTTAGAAGTTCCCCCAGGTGATTCTAATATGAAGCCTGGCCTATGAACCACTATATTACCTATTTTCCTGAGGGCCTTGGGAAAGAAGTGTGTTCTCTGAGGAAAGACTTGGGTGGACCAGAACAGGTGGATGCAGGGTTCTATTCTTGCACTTCTCTCCCCATCACTAACCTGCAGAAGCATTTCTTTCTAGGAGTGCTCCCCTTGTGTGTGAGAATGGACCTGTGGAAAAGGCTCGGTGTTTGACAGGGTAGAAAAAGGCCAATGCAAGCACACGACTAAAAGGGCCTCTCCAACAGAGAACCAGTTTGATGTGCATTCTCTAAAATTCTGCTGAGGATTTAGTGACTTCAAGGAAGTTGGCTCTGAGATCTATGTGTGATGAAGACTCAGAGGCCGATAGAAACAAAGATGCTGTTTGGTGTCTTTCATCTTTTTAGCTCTATCTCAATCTTATTGAGCCAAGTTGTGCCTAGTTGCAGCAATGAATCCTGCCTGTCAATCTAAACTACATATAAAGTACCTGGAAACCTACTCCAAAAAGCTGGGAATCCCTGCGGGTCTCACCTGGAAATGACTTCAGTGGGATATGAGGTAGAAAGTGGTGGCCAGTGCAAACCATAACTGCATCAAAGACGGCACTCTGCTCCTTGCCATTGCTCTGAGTGACAACCTTCCATTGGCCAGAGGATGAGAAATCTGGACATTTTCTCACACTAAGGACAGTTGTCTTGAAGAAACAGAGAAGGCATCATTGAGAATTACTCCAGGATAACATGGGCCAAGTGTGTCCTTCTCATCGCTGCTTCGTGCAAGAGGCCTGACTCAGCAGTGGGACCAGTCTGTTAAGGGTGTTGAATACTGAGTAAGGACTTGAGAGAGAAAAGAAAAACAAGTTCTTATGAAAACTGTCAGAATCCAGATGGAGTCACTAATGTTAAGAAACCCGACAAATAGAAGTGGGAAAGGCCAGAAAGAGTGGGTTCTCATGGTGTGTGCCTGGTAACAGAAAAGACTACAAAAACCACCACCTTGCAGAAAGACCATCATAATCTTACACAAAAATGACTTCTACAAGAACATCTGCTCAGTGACTGTCCAATCTTGGACTGGCAACACCTTTGTTATTGCCCTTTATATTATTTATATAATTATTTCAAAACAATTATGTAATTGTATTTTTCCCCCATTTAAAAACCTTTGTCTTCCTTTAACTCCCTGAATATACACATAGTTTACCATGGCATGTACATTCTCATTACAATGCTCTATTACGAAAAAAGTTTTTTTTAAAGAACTTCTGTTTGTTATTTGATAGTCTGAACAAGGAAACAAACCAATAATTCAAGTGATCATGCAATTGGCATATGTCAGGAACGTTAAGTGTAATAACACTACTTTTTGGGTTTTACATCAGGTTGTTATATTTCAACAAACACTTAGAATGGGATAGTTTATTCATAATTGCTTTCATTATCAGAATAACTTTTCTATTTAAATAGCTGGACCAATGTAGAGAAACCCATTTCCCCAAAAATACCTTACCTGGAACTGAATATATTTTAACAGATCAAATTTTTTGGCAAAAATCCTGAAATATTCCAGAAGTTTAGAATTATGCAGGAAGTTTGGAAAATCTTCGGGCATTGGAAAGTCACTAAAACAGGACATTTCTTTGCTGGTGTTGGTAACGACAGATTGATAGATGCTTGCTCGGCCATCTTCCACCTTCTCCTGAAGGATCAAATACAATAGTGATAATTACACACTCAAATTTTTTGTTTGTCTTTTACTCTTCCTACATCTAACCCCTGGGTGATGCAATTGTCTTTGGTTGCTGTGGTGTGATGACAATGTTTAGGTGATGAGTGCAGTCTATGTGTTCCATCAATCATTCTGTGATGACACCAGTTTGTTGCCTGCCTGTAACGCTCACTGTGAGGGGTAGGAGTGATGTGGCAATGGTGAGGTTGGGCACAGGGACAATTATTTTGGCACATTGCAAGATATTAGGATCCTGGGTCTCTACCTATTTAATGCCAGTCTTTGTGACAACCAGCTTACTTCCTGAATTCCCCTTGGGGAGGCTGTATACACCCACCAGCTCTTTAGAAACCAGTAAACCCTGGGACACTGGGCAGAGAACATAATAGAGAATTTCAGTATTCTAAAATGAATACTTTTGGAGGAAGGGAGTTTACACATTTTGACACATTTTGATTTGAATCCCTTTACACAAATCAATCATTGTCAAGTGATAAAGGTGAGTAGCACTGATATCTTATTTATTTATTTACTTGTGAGACAGGGTCTCACTCTGTGGCCCAAGCTGGAATGCAGTGGCATGATCATGGCTTACAGCAGCATCAACCTCCTGGGCTTAAGTGATCTTCCCACCTCAACCTCCCAGGTAGCTGGGACCACAGGCATGTGCCACTACACGGGCT